CAGATGAAATTACAGCGGGCAAACGCCCCGTGCGCGAGTCGCCGGTGCACAAGAGACGGCTCTCCTTTCACGACGACACTGCGTGCGCGGCGCGGTGCAGCGCTCGCCCGTTTGCTTTGTGCTTTTGTGTTTTTTTATTTTTTTCATTTTTTTCATTTTTTTCATTTTTTTTTCGTCGCCTTTCCGCTCTAGCGTACACACAGACACGGTGGAATAATTGCAACTGGGTCAAACAGTCCTACGACAAAACGTATGGTCTCAAGTCCGTGTGCAATTGTTAGTTCGTCAACAAGAAACGAGGTCGTAACTGTGTGTCGTTTTCCACGAATCGTGTTCGGAATCAAAAGCCACCGGTGGCTACTGCACAGTCGCAATCAAGATTTGTACAATCACGTGAAGTTGTCGGTTGGTGTACATGAAGTCTAGCCGTACTAGATTACATTTTCCAAGAATCGAGTCCAGAATTAAAGAATCGTCGGTACCGTTTTAATGGGAGAATAAACTACTGCAGAGACGCTGGAAACAAGCAAGATTTGCTATGCATTGACAAGACGTGCTACATATGTCTCGCCTTAGTCGGGCCTTAACTTGTATCTTAGAGAAAAGATAATCTCTCTTAGGGTTGTTTCCTTCTGGTGAAAACACTGATTTAATTGCGACGATGGCGCCTGTTCAATCATATTAAAGGCAAACGATACGATATTTCCTCTGTGCTTATACATATTTCTTCTTTGATATTACGGAAGGAGCTGTGGAGAATCCTCACCACTCTGCACAGGACCACTTGACGTGACGTTACGTCACGTCATCCGTTCCCCGTCCGGCAAGGGACTGTCTTCGCTTTCCGACTGAGTGGGGGGCTCTTCCATTAGGACCCAGAACACGCTTATTAACACTGGATTTAGGACTGTTTATTTAATTTATCATGTGCCTTCTATAATTTTTGTCTCTACCTCTTTTTCGTATTTTCCTTGTTCTTTCCTTTTTTGTGTGTCTTTGTTCTCCCTCCCCTTCTCTCGACTTTTTCCAGCCCTTTTTCCATTTCCATCCCTCATTTTTATACCGTCCTTCCATCCTTTTCATCCTCGTTTCCCTATTTCTTTACCCTATTCTTTGCCGTCTAATTCCTCTCTCTCTCTACTTCTTATCTCTTTTACACCCTTTCTTTCTGTTCCGTTTTTTTCTTCTGGCAAAAGCATGCAAACCTGAATATTCTTAATTGTTTAGTATCTCAAATAGTTTTTCATATCCGTTTTCCCCCTCCTTCCAGATGTCCGATAACTCATACGCTATTCGTGTCATTTCTTTCATCCTAATCTTTTTTTTTACATAAACATGTTACAGTAGAGATCGTAAATTGCACATCTACTGAAGACATCGCCGCATTTATTATTCTCCAAGATCTTCTTCGTGACTACATGACCACCTTCTTGATCCCCCTCCTACTAGATGAACTCTGATGTGACACATTTGTGTTCGTTTATATGTCAAATTACGGTCAAACTGTATATCTTAATTTGCTTGATCTCAAATAAAGTTTCATTCCGTTTTCCCCCTCC